CCAACCCACACTACTCCCCCCGCCCACACTACTCTCCCGCCCACACTACTATCCCCAACCCACAGCACTCTCCCCGCCCACAGCACTCTCCCCGTGGACCTGCACTTGCATGAGGCCCAGTGTGGGCAGCCTGTTCAGCTGCAGAACAGAATGTTCCAAGGCATGGGCTCCCAGGTCACTTAGCACCTGTGTTCACATGCTAAGTGCCTCTCCTGAAGGACAGGCTGAGGGTGAATCGGCTCCGCACAAGGCCATAGGGCCCCAGAGAGGAGGACCACCCCGGGGAGAGGTAATAGGAGGTTCCAGCAGCGCTCAGGCAGGAATAGCCACCATCTTATCATCAACAGCAGGAGAACACCGCGACCTGGCCTGCCTGCCGCCCCCCTGCCCCAGGAGCTGCTCGGTCAGGGAGCTCCTTTCATCCTCCTGAGGCCTGCGGCACGCATCCCCCTCTCTCCCCCACACACATACACACAGGTGACAACCAGCCCAGGAGTGGCCGGGCCAGGACCATGCAGCAGCAGCGCCCCGGAGCACCTCCTGCCAGGAACAGCCTTTATGTGTCTTTACAGGGACTGCCTGGAACCTTCCAAACGGCCACCACTCCAACGAGGAGGGAGACTGGAAGACGGTGTTCACACACCTCACAGCCTTTCCCCAAAGCCTGTGCTCAGTCAGGAATCTTCCCGGGTGTCTTCACTACCTCCCACAGCTCCATGTTCGGGGACAGTGGCATCATGTCCCGCCACCCACCCTAACAGAGGCCCGAAGCACTCTGCTCCCAGAGGCGAGCATCTGCTGCAGGGCTGAGTGCACCCCAGAGAAGCTAACTCAACACAAGGAGAATGCAACGCTGTGACTAACGTGAACGAGGCACCCGGCGTGGGGCCCTGGGCAAGTCCCTTAACCTCTCAGTAACACTTAGTTTTCACCCAGTATGGAGGCGCCTCAACAAATTAAAAACAGAACTCTCATATGACTCAGCAACTCCACTTTGGGGCACTTATTCAAAGAAATCCAAACACTAACCTGAAAAGACACTTGCGCTGCTCTGTTATTTGCAGCAGCCAACACGTGGGGGCAGCCGTCAGCAGGCAAGTGGAGAAAGAAGTGGTGCACACGTACAATGGAACAGCACTCGGCCATGAAAACATAAACACTTAGGTGTGTTATGCTCAGTGAAATAAGTCAGGCAGAGGAAGACAAATACCATATGATTTCACTCATGTGGAATCTAAAGAACAAAATCAACAAACAAAATAGAAACAGACTCATAGATGCAGAGAACAGACTGATGATCGCCAGATGGGAGGGGGCTGGAGGACGGGCTGAAAAGGGTGAAGGAACTGAGACTGGTGGCTGCAGAACGGTCACGGGGATATAAAGTACAGCACACGGAATACAGCCAACAACTTCGCGGTAACTATGTAATGGTGCCAGGTGGTGCTAGCCTTCTCAGGGACACCTGGTGAGGGAGGTACATGTCGAAGCCCTATGCCGTACATCTGAAGCTCACGTACCAGTGATATCAATTGTAATTGAAAAACATTTTTTAATTTATAAAGAAAAAAATAGACTTAGTTTTCTGCTCTGTAAAATGGTGATGACAATAACACCTACTTTACAGGTTCCTGTAAGGATTAAAGTAAAGGAGGGAAAGTAAGCAACCCTCGTGCATAGGGTCAGCCCTTAAAACTACGTCAGCACCCTGACCGCAGACGCCTCTTAAACGGTGTGTGCGCCTCGGTGCTGAATTCCAGGCACGCCTACTGTGCGGGGCGTGGGAGCTGGGGACCCCAGCTTCCCATCACTTACACAGGTGCTGAAGGAGCGGGGCCAGCTGAGGGGGTGGGGCTCATCACAGAGCTTCACTCCTCCCAAGGGGACTGAACGTACTTGGGTCCCCAGGTCCGGCACAGAGGGTGTCGTGGGGGTGGGGGAACACCGTGACCACTTCCACCAGAAAAGCCCCAGGAGCACTCAAAGAATCAAATTTTAAGGATCTGGAAATAAAACAAAAACACCAACTGCCCTTCAGGACATGGAGGGAATGGCACGTTGCCATGGCAACCAGAGGCTGACTTAGTCAGCAAGTGCTGGCAGGAGAACCTCAGGAAGGAGGCAAAACAAAGACAAAGGGATCCATTAAACCCTTTCTGCAGGGCAACCAACTGGGCCGGGCGGGCGGGCGGAGTCTGACCTCCTGCGATTTCTCACTGGGAGCTCTGCGTCGAGTTCAGGGGGTGCTTTTCCATTTTTAAACACGACGACAAACATCCAAGGAGCGATTACTACATCTAGTTCAATGTGTAAAATTACGGTCTCTGGGTAACAGAGGAAACTGAGGCCCCCACACGGCTTCCCGGCGCCTGGCTACCCTCTTGCACCACGGCAGGCGGGTCCCGCCTCTCCACTCAGAGCAGCACTGCCAACCCCGTCCTGCATCTGAATCACAGGTACTATCACGGGGTCTCACGATCTTCCCTTAAATTAATTCACTTAATATTCTACGTGAAAGGAGAACGCGGCTCCTTTATGAAATAGAAAACCGTTGTGCAGTGGCCTCTTTGGAAGACACTGAAAAATACTCTGGTGAGTAACTATAGTTTTCACCTCTGAGTAGCGAAGGGTTTTTGAAACGTGGCAGAGACAGGTGAGCCATGCACGATAACAGAGGTCAGCCAACTCTGTGGGCCGGTGTTTGTAAACAAAGTGTTGTTGGCACAGCTATGCATCACACTCAGTCCATGCTGACCGCTAACCCAGCGCACACAGTCTCGACCTGGCCCCTCGAAGCAAAAGTCTGCCGACGCCTAAAGTATCTGATTGGTGACCTGTGACCTTAAAAGTGCCAAATGCTGCACATCCAAGGGAAGCGAACAAAACAGAAATGCAAGTCCCTCACGGGGAGGACTGCATCATCCAGAGAGCTGAGACAGGGGTAGAGCCAGCACTTCCACAGTAACCCCTACAATGTGACAGTGAAGAACACCGCAGGTAAGGAACATGAAGAAGAAGAAGCCAAAAGAGCTGACAAACACTGAAAAAACTGCTCCATCTCACTAAAATGAGAAATGACCAAATGAAACTTATGTGACTGCACCTGCATCAGCGAGCCCGGCTCATTGCGCTGACACAGTGAGAGGCACGAGGTTGGGCGGCAGGAACTGGGAAGACTGAACCTAGCACTGACCCTAACCCTAGCCCTAACCCCAACCCCAACCCCAACCCTAACCCTAACTGGCAGAGATTGAACCAGGACCGCTACTTCGAGAAGCAACGCAGCACAGCCTGGTGAGGGGGCAGTACGCTGTGTGCCGCCACTCCCGCAGGAGGACATGTGCAGAGGCCAAGGATGCCGCTGAGCACGTGACTGCAAAGGACCAGCCCCACGACAAGGGCCAAGTGTGGGGAGTGGCGAGCCCAGCAACCCACGGAGGAGCGCGCTCAGAGCCCACGGAGGCGCCGGGGGAGAGGGGAGACTCGCGGGGCTCCCTGCGGCCAGCCTCGGCTCTGCCCCCCCCCCCATCTCCCCCAGCTTACTTACTTAGAGAGTTTCATCTCTATCTGCTGCCGGATTTCCTGCCGCTCCTCATCCGTCCTCCGGGGGAAAATGTTCCGGTCCTCCAGCTCCTGCTTGCTGGGCCGGTTCCTCAGTCTCACGGCCAGCAGCTCCTTCTTGCATTTCCTCGGCAGAGTTCCTGGGGGAGCCAGGGGAGGTGCAGCAAAGACAGTGTTAGGAGTGCGGGCAGCGTGTCCCTGCAGCCCCCACCTGCCTGGGGAAAGGGTGTGGACAGAGCGAGGGGCACTGTCAGCTTGTGGTGACTTCCAGGGGAACAGCGGTGACAGGGATGGCAACGGTGCCATCTCCCACCTCTATGGTGGCGGTCGGTCACATGGCCAAGTCCCCAGGGCCAGTGCTGGGCGACACCAGTTGCCCCAGCTGATTATTAATAGCACCCACTTTTTTTTTTCAAAAGTGTCCACGTTTGGGTCATAACTTACAGTTTCTTTACCCACGGCAACCCTCCCCACTGCCCGCTACCCTCTGGCCAGGTGGCTCTTTCAGTTCCTGGAATGTCTCCCCTGGGCCACACCCGCGTCTGTCCTCTGCCGGGACCTGCTCTGCCACATCGTCCGGGGCTGGCCTCTTGCTGAGCCCTGTGCCAGCCTCGAACCATCTCCTCAGACAGGTCTGCCGGGCTCCGTCACTATCACCCCATTAACTCCGCCCTCACACGCCTCTCCGTTGTTAGTTTATTCTGTCTCTCCCACGAGACTTTAACTTCAACTGCCGTCTGCTCTCCAGGTCCCAGGACAGTGTTGGCAAAGTAGGTTATTAATGATCACTGCTGAGTGAAGAGATGGGGTGGGGCTGGCTCAGGGTCCAGAGGGCGGAGGCAATCCTATGTTCTGCACATGTCAAGTCACGGGGTAGAATCCGGGCAGGAGTAAGATCCTGGGGGACATGCCCTGCCGGTTTGGCTCAGTGGGTAGAATGTTGGCCTGCGGACTGAAGGGTCCCAGGTTTGATTCCCAGGTCAAGGGCACATACCTGGGTTGTGGGCTCGATCCCTAGGGGGCATGCAGGAGGCAGCCAATCAATGACTCCCTCATCATTGATGTTTCTCTCTCTCTCTCCCTCCCCCTTCCTCTCTGAAATCAATAAAAATATATTTTTTTACAAAAGGGTCCTGGGGGACAGAATGTCTGGACTCACTTCAGAGCAGGACTGGAGTGTGGCTGCAAACACAGGCGGGGTCACTCGGCCGGGAATGGGGTGTCCAGCTCACTGAGCCTCCTGAACAGCAGAGCCCCACCTGCCTCACGGAGGGTGATGCCGACCACAGGTGTGCAGGGTGTGTGTTGCTAGGAGCATAAATTTAACTCCTGGGGCTCAAACCATCACCCGATGTGGTCTCTCCCACAATAGTTTGAAGACAAACTATTTATTAAGAAAAAAAGCTCCCAAAAGAAAGTCAATTCCTCGTGTGGGAGATGAAAATTCAAAGAAATAAGTCTAATAACATGATTGTTTAACAGAAGGTTGGGATGAAGTAAGACAAAAAGTTGGACTCAGCTGAGGCTTGGATTCTAATCTGAGCTTAATTATGTGTTTTATAGAGAAAAGAAAAAAATAATGATCCCCAAAACCATGTCAGCAAGGGCTCCAGCCTGAATTGCGGTCCCAGCTCCATGGACAGCACGGGCCCTGTGCTTACAGAACCACGAAGACCCTGGCGGGCTGCGTGCTTGTCTCAGTGGGTCCTGCCTATGTGCTCTCGGGGAGACTGGCTACGGTGGCATGGGGAGTCAAAGGCCCCTCAAAGGGACCAAGCCGTCATGAATGTCAAGGGTCTAACCCATGGCGGGAAGGGACCGCCACTCCCAGAGAACTAGAATACACTTAACCACAAAACTATGCTGACTGTGGCTAACGGTTTCCGCTTCTGATCAAGTCCCTAAGCCTCTGCAAATAGATCAGGTGTGTCATTACAAACTTCAGTCCCACTGTCCGTAACTGAGGACCCTTTCACCAGAGATCTCCAGATGCAACTGATCATTCACCCACGTGAAATCTGTGCAAGGGCCAAGTCCTCCTCTGCTCACCATCCAGCCTCCATGAGCACACTGGGCACACAGTAGGGCTGCAACAAACACACCTCAGGTCTTCCCAAGGCATCAGGAGGTTACCAGGTTTTGCTACTTAAAAGTCAGCGAAGGACATTTCCAAACATGTAGCTTGAAACGAGCGCTTTTCATGAATGGAACGTGCACCTACCCAACCGGTGCGAGCGCCTGGCCAGCACGTGGCCCAGGGCGCGCTGGGCAGGCGGGCGGCGAGAACCAGCCAGGACACCCTTCTGTCCAGACTGGGGCCAGCAATCTCCTCCCAAAGGCTCCCAGAAATCTCTGCTGGCCGAGCTTTGGGTCAGAAGTCCTACCTCCAGGAGTCTGCCTCCCAAAACAAACAGACGAGCACATAAAAGACACCTCCAGGGTGACCATCCGGCCTCATTTATGAGCGTGAGAAATGAAAGCACCTGGATTTCCCACAAGAGGGGACTTGTACCCCTGAATATGGTGAGCCCAGGGAGACAGTGGGGGCAGGTGTCCCTGAGGAACAAGGCCAGTCACGATGAGGCTGTGAGAAGCGATGTGTAGAAAGGCATGCCTGTGTATATGTACAGGAATACAGTTGTGTATCTAATTGTGTAAGCATACATGTGATCTTACTATACACTGGCAGAGTAATGCCAGAAATGAATCATTTAACTTACTAAGTTTAGTTTCCTGTATTTTTAACCCTGAATTATAGTTTTCTGAAATTAAATAATTGTTTAAAAATAAAAACTTTCAATCCAGAGACAGAGAAGCATCGATCAGACTGTCAAAACTCAGAGGGAAGGCAGGGGAGGGTGGGAGGAAGGGGGAGAGATCAACCAAAAGACTTATGTGCATGCATATAAGCATAACCAATAGATACAGACACTGCCTTAATCAATAAAGACAAAAAGACACAAATAGATTAAAAGGACATAGGAGAAGGATATTCTAATCTAAAACTAATCAGAAGAAAGCTGCAGTGTCTGCTACTGTCAGACAAGGTAGATTTCAGAGCAAAGAGCCCTATCAGGAACAGACAGGTCTCTCATAGTGATAAGGGGACGACGTCAGGAGGGCAGACTGATCCTAAATGCTTATGGCCCTATTAAGTGTTTCAAATACGTGAAGCAGAAACTGACAGGTCAGAGATAGTTGGAGATGGTGAACCCTCCAAGCAGCAGGCAGAATGGGCAGGCAGACGTGTGAGGGTGAGGCAGGTGTGAACACCATCCTCAAGCAATTGGATTTGGTTAACATTTATAAAAACATGCGACCCCAAACCGAAAAATACACATTCTTTAAAGTGCACGGTGACCTTCACCAAGAGAACCATATTCTGGACCGTTCGACGTCTTAATACATTAAAAGAACTCCTGTCACACTAAGCATGTGCTCGGCTCAGAGTGCGGTTGAACTGGAAATTAATAATAAAAATGTCTGTAGAAAAATACCCAGCTGTTTGGAAATGAAATAAAAACACTTTTGAATAATCCATAGTTTCAAGAAGAAATCGAAGGGGAAATTAGAAAGCATTTTGAAGTAAATAAAAATACAACCTATCATAAGGGTTTTGGGGGAAACATTTACAGCATCAGATGTGGCTATTAGAAAAGAAGAAAGGACTTGAATCAGTGCCCTCAGAGTCCATCTCAACAGACTAGGAAAGGAAGAGCAAATTAAAATCAAGGAAGTAGAAAAACTAATAAGGATCAGAGCAGAAACCGATAAAATCAAACATAGAAAAACACAAAGAAAATATTAGAATCCAAGAGCCGGTTCTTTGAGAAGAGCAATAAAATTGATCAAACTGCTCGACTGGCATGGCTCAGTGGTTGAGTGTCGACCTATGAACGAGCAGGTCATGGTTCGATTCCGTCAGTCGGGGCACATGCCCGGGTTGTGGGCTTGATCTCCAGTGGGGGGCGTGCAGGAGGCAGCCAATCAATGATTTTCTCTCCCTCTCCCTTCCTCTCTGAGATCAATAAAAAGATATTTTAAAAAACCATTTGATCAAACTGTAGCCAGACTTATCGGGGAGGCGGGTGAATGAGAGAACCCCATGTCAGGGAGCGGAGGGCAGTAGCTGCCTCTGGTTCCGTGCCAGCCTCGAGGCTCACTCAGGAAGAAATATGGAACCCAAACAGGCCTACATCTACCAACACATGTACTTCCCAGTTGAAAACCTGCCTCCACACACACACAGAAGCCCTGCAGGGCCAGATGGGTGCTCTCATAAACTCCGTGAAACACGTTGAGAAGTAAACACCAATTCTGTACACATTATTCTAGATAAACATCAAAACAAAGGGGACACTTAAAACTCATGCCATCAGGCTAGAGTTCTCTGGGTTGTCAAAACCAGAAAAGAGAATTAAAGAAAATGAAAGACTAACAGCTCCTATGAACATCGATGTAAAATTCTAAACAAAATTTCAGCAAATCAAATTCGACAGCTGAAGTGCTAACCCAGCCTGACCAGCTGGGAGCGAGGTGGCCGAGCACTTGGAAAGCAACCACCGTCACTCCCCAAATCAACAAACTTCAAAGGAGAAACCATGTGCTGACCACAAAGCCGTGCTTTGACCCTGGCCCGGCCCCGGCCCCGGAGCTGCAAGGGACCCAGGAGACTTCACACGGGAAGAAGGGGAGGGACAGCGCCGTTCCGGGAGACATGAGCCGCCCTGGGTCCCAGCAGAGGTCTGGCTCAGAGAAGCATGTTCTCTCACTCGGGCACAGAAATTACACAAGCTCGTTGCGAAGAGCTCACGGCTAACAGCTGTGGTGGAAGATCACCCCCCGCGCCCCCTCGCACCTCCATCAACCACCACCAGAGCTCACCCATTCTCCTTCCAGACCTGCGTCTGCTCAGTCTTCTCAACCGATGCTCACAGTTCCCCCTGACTCTCCATGTCCCACCGGGCTCCCACGCCGCACCATGGCCCGCAGCGGGCCGAGCTCAGGCGTCGGGCTCGAGTTCTCAGCGGCACGTTCTTCAGAGTGTGGATGCCACGCTGCCTCATCGCTTGTGGGTCCAGCTGCCGAGAATGGACATCCGGGGGCTGTTTGGTTTTGCTCTTTTAACCAAAGCTGTAGGGAATGTCCTCTCTCCGCGTTTCCCTGCACATGAATACTCCACCAGCCCCATCCCCGGGACAGCAGGACTGCGAGCCAAGGCCACCGCCTATTTCAGGTCTCCATGGGCACGCCTGGCCCTGCTCCACCCACGTCCTACCGCTGCTGCTTCCAGAACCGGTCCTGGGCACCCTCTGGGGAGGAGGAGGAAATAATGTACAAATGGGAACACGAGGCCCAGGGGCTCTGGAGTTAGAAAGGAACTCGCCATCTTTCTCTCAATTAGGCCCACTTTGGAATCCACTTTAAGGTAATTACGGAGATGCGTGAAGTCCTAGCTGCAAGGATGCCAGCGCGTCCTCCCATTGCTAAGGCAGCTGTTCCCACCCGAAACGGTGATGCTGGAACCCGGTGGGCTCAGGTGCCCGCCTTTGACGTTGAGTGGGAGGAGGGATGGGTGCCAGGAGAGAGGAGGGCGGCAGGGTTGGCGCCCTGTCCTGGCCACAGGAGTCCCCGCATGGGACTCCTGTCTTCACACAAGCAGGGACACTGTGGGGCCATCTCCAGCTGCTGTGAAATCCTCATTTCAGAGGTCATGCTTTTTAATTCTAGAATTTGCATCGGGTTCTCTCTGACGGTTTCTGTTTCTCTGCTAAGATCCTCCATCTGTTCGTTCACCTTGTCCTTGAAGACCCTGGACATGCTCCCAGGCCGGGTCTTCCATGGTTTGAACACGCTCTTACTCCTTAGGCCTGGTTTTCCTGAGGTTCCCAGAGACGGCCTGACCTCTTAGTCACAGTGGGCTTGGTAGAAGCAGCTGCATCCACACGCCGGCTCCCGGGAAACTCCCTCTGCACTCGCGAGGCAGGCGGGTGGAAAGGCAAGTACAGTTTCAGTGCCGCTATGAAAAGTTTTGAACTTGAGAGCCTTTTGAAAGTGTCTCAGAGACCACCTCCCCCAGGGATCCGGGAAGGAAAAAAGAGAGACTGACTGTGTGCTCATGGGGCTTTCTTCACTGCCTGGGCTGGGTCGCCATTCAGCTCTGGGGTCACCAGTCAGCTGCCACACCCACAGGTGCCAAGTCCGTGGACTACACAGGCACAGCCCAGCCCGGCCAACACCCATCACACACTCGCCCATCCAGGTCCCTATCCCACAACCCCCAGCTGTCGCGCAGCCCAGGCTGCCATCGGGGCGAGACCACGATCTGCTTGCAGCCACCGCCATGCACCCCCACAAAACTCCCCAGGCCTCAGGACAGTCCACGTGGGGCTCCCCTTTCATGGAGGACAGCCCCGCATGACCTGCTGTCTGACGCCCCTACAGCGGGCTCCTACACCCCACCCGGTTTTGTAAGTGGTGGGCAGCTACCAGAAGCAAATCAGCTTAAAAAATAAATCTAGACACAGACTATACCCTTTACAAAATGGATCACAGACCTAAATGTAAGATCAAAACTATAAAGCTCCTAATTTAACAAAGGAAAAAACCTCGGTGACATGAATATGGAGGTGACTCTTTATGTAACACTGTCAAAGGCACCAGCCATGATAGAAAGAATTGATAAGCTGGACCTCATTAAAATTAAAAACTTCTCCTCTGCAACAGACAGTGTCAAGAGAATGAGAGGACAAACCATAGACTAGGAGAAAATATTTGCCAAAGAAATATCTGATAAAAGACTATTAACCAGCCTGGCCAGTGTGGCTCAGTGGTTGGGCACTGGCCCATGCACCAAGAGGTCACGGTTCAATTCCCAGTCAGGGCACATGCCCAGGTTGTGGGCTCGATCCCCAGTAGGGGGTGTGCAGGAGGCAGCCTATCAATGTTTCTCTCTCATTGATGTTTCTCTCTCTCCCTTCTCCCTCTCCCTTCCTCTCTAAAAGTCAATAAAAACATATATTAAAGAAAAGACTACTATCCAATATATATAAAAATTCTTAAAATTTAACCATAAGAAAACAAACAACCCAATCAAAATATGGGCCCAAACCTTCACAGACCCCTCACCAAAGAAGAGACACAGGTGGCAGACAGGCAAATGGAAAGGTGCCCCACGGCCCACGTCACCGGGGAAATGCAATGGGATCCACTGCACACCTGTCGGCACGGCCAGAACCCAGAGCACTGACACCGCCACGTGCTGGCGAGGACGCGGAGCAGCGGGACTCTCCGTCTGCTGGTGGGAACGCAAAACGATACACTCACTTTGGAAGACAGTTTGAAGGTTTCTTACAAAATTAAGCATACGTACTCTCACCATACAATCCAGTAATCATGTCCGCGGTGTTCACCCGAAGGAGTTGACAACGATGTCCACAGAGGAACCCGCACACGGATGTTACAGAGCTTTGTTCACACTGGCCAGCAGCTGGAAGCAACCAGGATGTCCTTCTGCTGGTGAAGGGCTAAATCAACAGTGGTCCATCCAGACAATGGACTGTCACTCAGAGCTCACAAGAAATGAGCCGTCCAGCCATGCGAAGGCGTGCGGGAATCTTAACGGCACATTACAAGTGAAACAAGCCAATCTGAAAGGCTCATGTCATGATGCCACCCCTGTGACGTTCTGGAAAGGCAAAACTGTGGAGACACGAGAAGATCAGTGGGTGCCAGAGGCTGGGGGAGGGCTGGATGGCAGAGCACAGGGTTCTTAGGGCAGTGAGGATGCCCGGCACGATGCTACAATGACGGATGACACATGTCATGATACATCTGTCCAGACCCACAGGATGTACAGCACCGACAGCGAACCTCATGTAAACCACAGGCTCAGGTGGTGACGCGTCCATGCAGGCTCATCGGTGGGGGTGTTGGTAATGGGGGGCTGTGTGGGTCTGGGGCCGGGTAGACGGAAAGTCTCTGTTCCCTTCACTTAATTTTCCTATGAACCTAAAACTGCTCCATAAAACAAAACCTTTTTAAACATTGTCTTTGAGAATGCCCACCCTGCCCTGCTTTTTCCCGGTGCTGACGGCACACGCAAAAGGTGCCCTGTGCATGGGCATGTGTTGTGTAAGTGTGCTGTGGAGCATGTGTGCACACTGCAGGCTGTGGCGACCTGTGTGTGCAGGCATGTGCATGTGTAAGCGTGCTGCAGAGTGCATGTGCACACTGCAGGTAGTGGCGACTTGTGTGTGTGGGCATGTGCATGTGTAAGCGTGCTGCGGAGTGTGTTCACACTGCAGGTGGTAGGGACCTGTGTGTGTGGGCATGTGCGTGTGCAAGTGCGTTGAGTAGTGTGTGTGTGCACTGCAGGTGGTGGGGACCTGAGTATGCGGGCACATGAGTGTGTAAGCATGCTGCAGAGTGTGTGTGCGCACTGCAGGTTGTGGTGACCTATGTGTGTGGGCATGTGCATGTGTAAGCGTGCTGCAGAGTGTGTGTGCACACTGCAGGTTGTGGGGACCTGTGTGTGTGGGCATGTGCATGTGTAAGCGTGCTGCAGAGTGTGTGTGCGCACTGAAGGTAATGGAGACCTGTGTGTGTGGGCATGTGCGTGTGCAAGCATGCTGCAGAGTGTGTGTGCGCACTGCAGGTTGTGGTGACCTATGTGTGTGGGCATGTGCATGTGTAAGCATGCTGCAGAGTGTGTGTGCGCACTGCAGGTAATGGAGACCTGTGTGTGTGTAAGCATGCTGCAGAGTGTGTGTGCACACTGCAGTGGTGGGGACCTGTGTGTGCGGGCATGTGTATGTGCAAGCATGCTGCAGAGTGTGTGTGCACACTGCAGGTCGTGGCGACTGCACGAGGCACACGCACCTCTCTGCACTGACCAGGACACTGTCCGTGTCCTGCATGGAAACCCAATGGCCACACTCTGTGTGAAACAGACACATCTCACTACGACCTGGTCAAGCAGGACGCCGTCCGGTGGGTTCACAGGGCCGGCTGCTGGGAGGGGCCTCCCCAGCCCTAGAAATGGAGCATCTGATGCTGACGATTAGAGGACTCCAGTGGGCGGGACGAAGCCTGCAGAGGCTCCGGCCACAGTAAGCTCAGTGGGTGAGGAAGTGAGTAACGAGGAGCACAGTTCTCATGATGAATAAGATGCATGTGCTGCCCTCGGCCTCGGCACCACAGAGCCCCACACACGACGAGGCATGACAAGGGAGCGGGTTTGGACCCGAGAGAAGCAAATAACCACGGATCCTTGCTGGAGCCACCAGGCAGCGCGGAGTCGTTCCTGGGCTCTCCTCCTTGCACAGCTTCCCCCGCAGTGGCAGTTCATTTATAGACGTTTCTATAACCAAGCGTTTTGTCTCAGACATGGCTAATGGTGAGGGAGCGGTGACATGAGAACATGACCAGAGCTAACCCTGCGTGCTGGCTCGGCCGCAGAGGCTCAGGGACCCACGCTCCGCTGGGACGGCACTCGGAGCTCAGGTTAGACGGCAGGACTCTCAGCAGGCCTGACGCGCAGTGGGCCCAGCCCTCCACACAGAGTTCTTAGGGCTGAGCGTGAGCTTTGACCGTGAGCCCTGGACCCGGGTGCCCACAGGAGGCCCCTGTTGGCGGAGACTCTGCTGGGAGTTGGCTGGCACAGTCAGCAGCAGAGAGCGGGGCATGGCAGCCACAGCGGTGCTTTTAGAACCAGCCAACCCTCCCTGCACCCCTGTCAGACCACGAACCCGTGTTCACTTAAAAACACCAGGTTGTGTAGGAGACAAGCCCAGGAGACTCAAGTTGTACGCGCCCTGGAGACACGGCTCATCTTCTCATGACACTGGGACGAGGGCTCCCTGGGCCACAATAGCCCTGCTTTGCAGGCACCATGTCCCTGTCCTCAGGGGTAGGGCACAGTCCAGGTTTGGAGGCAAAGGTCCCGAACTCGGACCTGAAGACACCTGGTCAGCCAGTCAACAGAGAGACAGCTGGTGCTGGGACCACGGACTGGAGGAGTGACCGGGACCTGTGGGTGCTCGGGCAGCACGCAGAGCCACTGGCCAGCGGCTGCCGGCCGACTCTAACTCGGACCCAGGCCATGTGAGGACCAGGGGAGCACGTAGGTACTGCCCTTGTGCAGACAACCGTCAGACGCATATGTGAGGTAACGGAAATGATCAGGAACTGATACGTTAGTGGAGAGACGGGCAACTAGTGAGATGATGGCAAAACTGGTGTTGGAGCTCCGAGGGACATGCCAGTGCCGTCCTGGAGCCCAGGGTGAGCCGGTCACGAGGACTCGAGGAGACTGGGACCTGCCAGGGCCGTGGGGGCTGGTCCCCCTGAGTCCGGCCACTGGCCCCACTGCCAAGAGCCCCACCTCTATCCACGGCTGTGACCTCACCAGGAGGTGCTTCTAGGAAGAACGATGGTATGTCACTAAATAGCCATCACCCACCTGGAAGGCCTGCAGCCAGGCCACCCTGGACCCTCCGCAGCGACAGTGCCGCTCAGCCGGCCTGCCCTGGCCTGGGCACCGCCCCCCCGCCCATCAAGGGGGTATCTATAAGCCCCCAGTCTCCAGGGTAGGACAGAGCAGCCACCGTGACCTTGAACACTGTACAGACTGATAGAGCTGGACTTCCAGGGCACGGCTGTCACACGGACACCGTTTCGTTGACACTGGAACCAATCCCTCTCCCCTCTCTTCCTCCCCGTAGGTCTCATCTCGCTTTCCGTTAGCACTTTGCTCCCTTCCCCAACCCGGACTCCTGAGCACAGCCCATGCCCGCTGTCCCGTCAATGCCGCCGGCCTAGGCACAGCTATCTTTCCTCGCACACGGAACACGCAATTATCAAAACAAAACCAGCTCACTCACGTCTCGGCGCCTGAGCCCGTCTGTACCCCCCTTGCTCGTCTTTGGAGGGGGCTCCCTCCCGCCCTCACAGGTACAGACCCCGCCCTGTCCTCCTCGGGCTGTGGCAGGAACGCCACCTCACACTCAGGCTCTGTGCCCAGTGACACGACCTCGTGGGGACTGGCCCCGGCAGGACCCGCTCACCGGAGATGATGGAGTCGTTCAGCACCTCTTCGTCCTGGTACAGGAGCAGGTCGTCCTGGAGCTCCGAGTGCACCAGCAAGTTCTCCTTGTTCTCCTCCGACGCCTTGGCTGCCGCCCACTTGCCCTCCGAGGCGCCCTCCACGCTCCAGGCCTCCTCCCGCTCCTTGGCCCGCTCCACGCTGGATGCTCGCGACAGGCGGACGTCCACCCGCTTCTTCGGGGACCCTTTGCTGTCCCTCCCTTGGAAACTGAATCAGAAAGGCAGTTCAGGTCAGACGCTGTTCCTTCACCTGGGCAAGCTGCAAAACGGACGGGCAGGGGTGCTTGTCTGGGCACCGTAATGACCCAGTACCAGAGCGATGTCTCGGCTTCTCACAGGACCAGAAGCGAGAGGCGTGCGCACACGGCACTGAGTCCGCGGCAGGGGCCACTGAGAACATGGGGCTCTGAGCAGCACAGACACGCGTGTAACAAAACCTGCCTCACCGCCCACAGCAAGTGCTCAGGCCAAGGCTCCCGAGAGCCGAGAAGGGCACGGTGTCCGGCGTTCCCACCAAGCCCTGGGGGGCCCATCGCCCACGTTGCCTGCCAACAACTTGCTTCTCCTTCACATGCGACAAACCTCGGGAGATCAAGACCAGGGTGAGCCTCGGGAGCCACCTGGGACCCCTCACAGAGCGTGACCAAGATCAGTCACATACCAGCTGCAGAGCTGGGTGAAAATGAAAATGCCGGCTCTTTGCCAAAAAAACTATTGAGAACTTCAAGAGTGACACAGAGCAGTGAGCCAGCCCGGAGACCTCCCAGGTGCACCCCACAAGCGGCCAGCAGGGAATTTGGCACACAGGTCCCTCGGCCAAGGCAGGGCTTACCTGTCCTGACGGTGCTTGGTGGCCAGTGCCCGGTGCAGCTCCTCGATCACGCGGCTGGGGGGCAGCGGCCGGTGGATGGTGGTGGGATGCGGAGACCCTGTGGGCGTGGGAAGCTGTCCTCGGGGGGGAGGGTCCGTGTTCTTCCCGCTGGAGTCCTGGAGGAGCACAGCCTGGCCTGGGGAGTGAGAGGCCAAGGAGAAGCTGAGTTCGAGGGCAGGGAGGCGACAGGAGCCAAGGAGCAGAGAGGACGCAGGTCCCTGCCGGTGAGCCCGCCAATGCCAGCGTGGCTGGGGCTCCCCCCGGGCCCGGGCCCCACTGTCCACCAGAGCCACACAGAGCAATGCCGCCGGCCGAGCTGTGCCTGCCCAGGGGACCTTTCACCACCTCTCTCTCAGGTGAGAAACTGAGGCCCAGAAGCCAACTCCAGGTCGTGCACCTTCAGGAGGGGGTGGGGACTGGGAAGGGAACCTGGCAGGTGACCCAGGTGTAGTTGAGGCCACAGGACCCCATACAAGGAGCTGACCGTCACCCGCTGGGCCGGGGCAGGAAAGCTTGCCTGAGGGGTAGGTCATGCGTCTCCAGGGTCCAGGCCAGTCAAGGGGCAATTCATACAGAAGGAGGGTGGGGACTGCGACTAACAGGAGAGCGGGTCCAGCTTAAGGGGGCTGCTGCGACTCGGGGCTGCCGCATACAAACTTTTCAAAAAACGCCAGAAATTTGGACTACAGGTGAAAATTCTCCTCTGTGTTTATACATACTAATAGCTAATACTTCAATAGACTTTAATATGTTTTAAATGTTGGCAACCCATTTTTAAAAAAATATCAAACACTGTATAAGCCCAGCACAGCACGTCCGAAGTGGGATCTGGGGCAGGTGAGGATGCCCTGGGTGGGCTGCTGGGTCTCAGGCCAGAGAGCGCCCAGGGGACTGGCTTGTGTGCTGTCCCCTGTGCCAGGTAAGCCCAGGTGAGGGCCTTTCTCCTCCCTGCTGCCACCTGGAGTTCACAGGATGAAGCCAACGTTTCCCCAAAGAAAAGGGAAAGGACAGTGGAGAACATGAAGACGCTCTCCCAAATGTCCCTCAGCTGTGAGAGCCCCAGGCCCCAGCCCTGTGGCCACCCTCCTGTCCCTTCCGCTCCTGTTCCAGTCCCCATATCCGTGGGTGACCGGGTGACGTATCCGATTTATGCCCCGGGTGCTCTTCTATACAAGGTGAGCTGACAGGGTAAATGCTGAGAGCACCGTGCACCCGCCTGAGGGCTGTGGTCAGGACAGGCACCTGGAAGAAGGGACAGGGATGCACTGACCTGGTGAAGTGAGAGGAAAGAACATTCCAGCAGGGAAAGCGGGGGGCGGGGGAGGGGGGGACGGGTCTGAGCTTTGGCCCCAAATGGCTCGAGTCTCCATTAGCTGGGGGACCCGGACAAGCTGCTGGAGCGCCTGAGCCTCCATTTCCTCCACTCAAGGACTGACGGGACGTGTGCCCTTGGGGTCCTTGGGTGCCTGGGCTGGTGCACCCACACTGGTAAGCGGTTGTATCACAGGTGGAGGTCATGGCCTGGGAGCAGACCTGCTGGCCTCTCTGCTGTCATCTGCCACCTCTGTCCTCAAGGCCGCCTGCCAGGACTCGCTCCTAAAGCCCCTCCTAGGAAGGGCCTGCCCTTCCTGAGACCAGCGCCGTCCCTGTTCCAGCAATTATGGCCTAAGAGACGCACCAACTTGGAGAGGAAATGTCTCAGCTACCTGGACTTGCTCAGCTGGCGCGGCCAACACTGCAGACGGGAGGCCTGGGGCCTCTGCCCGGCCATGCTTCCCTCTGACCACCACCTTAACCTGCCTTCCGGGACAGAGCTCACGGGAGGGAGAGATAATCAGTGAAACAGAAGAACAGAGACAGTGAGAGAGATTGAGAGAGAGAGGAAGGGGAGGGGAGAGAGGAGGAGGGGAGCAGAAAGAGGAGGAGGGAAGGGGAGAGAGAGGAAGAGAAACACAGGACAGACACTTGGACACCCAGACAGACAGAAAGACCTCGTCTGGGGGCTAGCTGTGTCTCCTGCACTCAGAAGACCTCAGCCCACTGCAAAGGGACTGCCCTGCTTGCTAGAGGGGTCCTGAGTAGTATGCTTCTGACAACCAGAGGTCCTTGCTAAGTAAGAACAGCCCTCCTGCCCCAGCTCTGCTCCCTGGACCTGCCCAGAGCCCAAATGCACAAGCAGTCCCCAGAAGGAGCCCCATCAGGATGGATGGATGGAAGGAAGGGAGATGGATGGGTGGACGGACAATGCGTTAGGACCCACCTGTGGCATTTTTTGTGGCTTTGGAGCCGGCCTTGGGCAGTGGGATGGGCAGCAGCGGGGGACTGGGGAGCTGGCCCACGGATCTCTCCAGGGTTCTGGGAGGACTGTCCAGGGAGTCGGACCCAGCTAAGGCTTGAGAGGACTCATCCGTGGTAGGTGGAAGGCTGCTGGTGGCGTCTGCTTCTTCACCCCTGGATGCTGAGGGCGTCTTGGCTGGTTCAAAGACAAAACAGAGAGTTCACAGACTATGGTTCCTCCGACTGGTGACGGTGAGCGAGGGCAGCAAGGGGTGGGTGGGACTGCGACACAGAGCAGAATCCACAGGGGCCACTTCACATACACACTTGACCTCCTGTGAGTTCAACTATCAATAGAGCTGTCAGAAGCAGAGAGGAGGAGGAAATCATTTCAAGAGTGTGAGTGGTTCAGTTCCCTTTTCACTCACTGGGTGGTGCCAAAGCTCCCACCTGGCCTGGGGGAAGTGGAGGGCGGGGGTGGTCACAATCACAGGTTTGGGGATCAGACACACCTGGGCTCCAGCTGGCCCCTGCACTTCCTCTGTGACTTTAGATCAGTTACTAAACCTCTTTGTGCCTCATTTACCCACACATGACATCGAACTAATAACTGGGGTCCCTCAAAAGACAGCTGTGATGTTTAAACAAGAGATGACAAGCCCTAGCTGGTTTTTCTCAATGGATAGAGTGTTGGCTTGCAGACTGAAGGGTCTCAGGTTCGATTCCGGTCACATGCCCAGGGTTGCGGGCTCGATACCCAGTAGAGGATGTGCAGGAGGCAGCTGATCAGTGATTCTCTCTCATCATTCATGTTTCTATTGCTCTTTCCCTCTCCCTTTCTCTCTGAAATCAATAAAAATATAGTTACAAATAAATAATAAAATAAATAATAATAATAAAAGAGGTGACGTGTGCCTTCACATTGCAGATGCTCAAATTTAGCAGCTACTGACTTCTCAGGTCTTGTTTTCAGCAGCCCTGCCCCCTGGCACACCAGCCAGGTGAGTGATGGGGAAGGTCAGCCTGCCCAGACCCCGCCCACCCTCTTCTTCCACCTGCACACCCAGGCTCCCCCAGGAAAGACCCCCCAACTCCCTCGAGTAACGTGCTCCCTGCTTTCTCCCAACCCATCAACCCTCCCCCTTCCACTCTCTCCATCCAGCTCAATTTCCACCTCCACCACAGCAGGTCCTCTGCCTGACTTCCTTTCCATTTAAATCTGGAGGAGCCCCATCTCTGGATGGAGCCCCCGTGATCCCACCCCTGCGGAGGTGCCACAGAAGGCCCAGCCCCAGCCCCAGCCCCAGGCGCCTCAGGACCTCCCCCCCAACCCCGCACGAAGCTCAGCCTCCACCCTCAGTCACTCTGCTTCACACCTCTCCTGGCTTTTTCCTGCTCCAGTTTCCCACCTCCCTCCTGCCATGCAGCCTCACCTCCAGGTTTACAGGGGAAACTGAGGCCATCAGACAGGGGCAATCCTGTCTCAAACACAAGTCTACTGTCCCTACACCCCTTCCTCCTTCCCTTCCTCCCTCCCAGACGTGAGAGGCAACCTCCTGTGCCCCCCTCGGACCCCAGGTGCCCAGGCCTGTGCAAGGCCCTGGCTGTTTCGTTTTTACAACCACCTGAGGATACTAACATCCGGGAACAACCTTTCAGAATGAACCCTAAAATCAGAGTGGGCCCACCCATCCACCCATCCATGGACCTCCTCAGGCAGGCAGGCGGGGGCGGGGTGCTGTCCGCGGTGCTGAAAGCACGTGCTGGGTCGGGGCGGGATCCCTGCCCTTAGGGGCCGTCCACAGACACTGGGAGCATGCGTGGTATGTCCCATGGATCCCATTACTTATCACCATTTCTATTATTTTAATGTCAGTGTCGGAAGTGGCAAACCTGTCAGGCCAGGACCTTTCTCTTGTGAAGCTCGTGGAAATGGAGACATTGCCATAGAAGGGCCGGCCCTCCCACTGGCCACGGAGCACAACCTGAGAAGGAAACGCCCCTTCCCCCCACTGCAGAAGGCAGCCTTGGCTCAGCCTCAGAGGGCAGATTTCTAACTGCTCCACAGAGGTGTCCCACCCCACAAGCAGAGGTGGAATGCCGCCCCCTTCTGCTCAGAAGGACCTGGGACTCCACACACCAGCAACGCTCAAAGTCCTCCTCCAAAGCCTCTCCACAAACCTAGTCTACACTCACCGCACAGAGACTCCGTGATCCCTGACCTGTCTGAGGGGCTTGCCTCTCCTCCTCTCTCAGCCTGCATCTTCCTCTGCGTCGCCTATGAGAGTGTGTGTAGCTACCATTATAGTTTGGAATCTTGTCGAAACTGAAATATTAACACCCCTTAAAATTTCAAGTATGGGGGGAAAATTCTTAGAAGACAAAGCTCTGGGTATTCTCTGATTTAGGGAACCTCCCTCAGGGCTGTCCCTGTCCTGCCCTGACCAGCAGAGGGAGCTGCGCACCCACTGAACACTCAGCAAACCCCAGTGCAGGGCTCAGATCTAGAAGTGAAGCCACAGATGATCCCCTTCTCCCATCACCCTGGGAGGATGACCCCAGACTCAATAGCATGTCCCGCCCACAAAAAGATTCTTAGGAACAAATTTTTGCTCAACAAACCAAGTTTGCTCTGAAATCCATGCCCAAACCATCTGGATAGCAAGAGCGCCTGAGGTTAACGGGCCTTGATGGGAGCCGGCACATTCCTCAGAGCCGAACAAGCAGGAAGACCCTGCCACGGAGGAGCACCGGGTGCCAGCAGCAGGCCGGGCAGCTGCCTAGCAGAGCTACAGGCTCAGTGGCCGAGGGCAACGCTGAGTTAGGCCATGGGAATCCCACCAACCTCCACCCTGACTGAAGGCTGATGCCTGGGGGATGGCAGGACCCCGGTGCCCAAAGGGCCTCTGCAGGAGAGGCCAGGGTGTCCCACCAGCCACGACTCTTCAGACCTCAAACTCATTGTTTCCCCAAGTCAGGGTGAAACTGGAGAGGCACAACCAGCCCCTCTTGGCAGGTGCCTACAAATGCTGAAGGGACGCTCTGGGTGGGGCCATGGGAAGAAGCACAGGGAGAGCCTCATTGGGCAGGAGGAGGCAGCTGAGGACAGATGCTCGCCCAGCTGTGAAGCAGAAGACCTCGCCGTCCACAGAAGCCCTTATGAGCCTGTCCTCGTGGGCTGGACTTCCAACATCCCACAACTGCAGGGACACAGTTGAAGTTCCAGCCCTCACACTGTGCCTGCCATGTTTACAGATGAAGCTTTACTGAGGAACAGGCTTCCTGCTCCACAGTGAAGTCTCCTGGGAGACATCTCTACAAACACTGCTAAGAGGTCAGAGAGCAGGGGGTGGTCACCTCAAAGCACCCACAGGTGTCTTTGCTGGGTTCATGCTTGCCTTCCTCTCCTTCATTCCCTTTGTCTCTCCTTTCTCAGCTGCCAACCACCCAGTCTATTCAATTAAACTAATGATCATCACCACCACAACCATCACCGCCACCATCATCACCATCACCACCACCACCACCACCACCACCATCACCATCACCATCACCACCACCATCATCACCACCACCACCATCACCATCACCACCTCACCACCACCACCATCACCACCACCATCACTATCACCACCACCATCTCACCACCACCACCATCACCAACACCACCATCACCACCACCATCTCACCACCACCACCATCACCACCACCACCACCACCATCATCATCACCATCACCACAACCACAAGCACCATCACCAGCACCACCACCATCACCACCACCACCATCACTATCACCACCACCATCTTACCACCACCATCATCACCAACACCACCATCACCACCACCATCTCACCACCACCACCATCACCACCATCACCACCACCAGCACCACCAGCACCATCACCAGCACCACCACCAGCACCATCACCACCACCACCATCTCACCACCACCACCATCATCAACATCACCACCACCACCATCATCACCATCACCACCACCAACAAGCACCATCACCAGCACCACCAACATCACCATCACCACCACCACCATCACCATCACCACCACCACCACCACCAGCAGCAGCACCACCATCACCACCAGCAGCACCACCATCACCATCACCACCACCATCACCACCACCACCACCATCACCAGTACCACCATCATCGCCAGCAGCAGCACCACCATCACCAGCACCACCACCATCACCATCACCACCACCACCATCATCACCACCACCATCACCGCCGCTATCACTACCACCACTACCATCTCCAGTAATCAGCACAGTTCCTGCCACACTGAGTGAGTCCTTCCACTTGACACAGGCCCCACCGTTTGTCCCTGTAACAGAGGGAACCAATGAAGCTTGGAGCAGTGCAACAAGCACACCTGGCGGAGAAGTGGCGAGAAGCACCTCCCCACCAGCAGCCACCCTGCCAGGGCACCACGCGGTGGGCACTGAAGTCCTGTCTCTGACAGAGGCAGGCTCTGTGGAGGCTGCAACCTGTGGAGGATTCTGTGGGCCCCTCCACCTCCATTCTGCCCTATGGTCGTGGGCTCAACGACGTTGCTCCCATTGGACACTGGCTCCTTGGGGAAAAATTTCCTAAAGCTCCCAGTGAAGAAGCAAAAATGTCCAGAGGAAGGTGCATGGGGGCTGCAAGCATCATGAGCACTTCCATTTACTGGCTATGCCAGACTTGGGAGAACACAGTTTGAAAACGCTCTGGCAAACATTTAAACCCAACCGCATGGCAGAGTGTGGCGGAGCTCGAGCCGGGCTGCGGTTGTGCCCCGAGAATAGCTCCTGATGGAGCCCAGGCCCAGGCCGGGGGCCCCAGTTGCCACCCAGGCCAATGGCCATCCTGGGAGCAGCTCCACCCCACACGGTCTCCAGCTGGTACCTGTATCCTCTGAGAGGGAGTCCGAGGACAGCGGCTCCTCCAGGGAAGCCTGGTCCATCCCGCTGGCCGAGGGGGTTCCTGGCTGGGCATCTTCTGGAAACTGCTGCTTGGGAGTGGACGGCTCACTCTGTGTGGCTCGGTGGCCCACTCTGCTTTCAGCATCTGCAAGGAGATGCACTGTTAGCCTAGCCCAGTGGTTGGCAAACTCATTAGTCAACAGAGCCAAATATCAACAGTACAACGATTGAAATTTCTTTTGAGAGCCAAATTTTTTAAACTTAAACTATATAGGTAGGTACATTGCTATTAACTTAATTAGGGTACTCCTAAGCTGGCCTTTGCTAAAAATGTCCTCAATCTGACTGAGGTACATTAGCTGAGGTCGACCTCTTCCAACTCTCCCATCCACACTCGTCTTGTATACTTGTTTCGTCTATCTTTTGTCACCCACGTGCGATTTGCGGACTCGACTAGCACTAACCACTGCACAATGAGACTGCTAACTGACTGGCTCACTCAACTTGTGCCCGCGCTGCGTATCCCGCGCCCGCCTGCGCCGTGTCTCCCAATGCCCGACAAACCAACACCCACCACTTCTTCTAATGCCACTTCTTCAAAATAGACTCGCCCAGGCCGAAAACCGACTTCTGCGCATGGGCCACGAAGTTTCAATCGCACTGTACGTGTGCGCCCGCACGTAGTATTTTGTGGAAGAGCCACACTCAAGGGGCCAAAGAGCCACATGTGGCTCACGAGTCACGGTTTGCCGACCACTGGCCTAGCCTGTCCTCCCTCCATGCATGCTTTATATGTTTTTTGGTTAATCCTCACCTGAGGATATTTTTTCCATTGCTTTTTTCAGAGAGTAGAAGGGAGGGAGGGAGAGAGAAACATTGATGTAAGGGAGACACAGCAACTGGTTGCCTCCTGCGCATGCCCCGAATGGGGGCAGGGAGGGAACCCATAACTGAGGTATGTATCCTTGACCAGGAATCGAACCTGCAACCATTTGGTGTCGATGCTCTAACCACTTAGCAACTCTGGCCAGAGCTCTGCAGCTTTATCCCTGCCAAAGCCTTCCTGGGCATATGCCTGCCCGGGCCCCGAGTCCCTGCGCACACCCTGTCTTCCTACGGCAGCACCGAGCATCGCGACACCCCTCAGCCTCTGCAACCTGCCTGTGCCCTCTCACTCCCACACCGGTGGAGACCGGACAATGACCCCCACCCATGTCTGCACCTTTGGGTGCTTCCCCCCTAACCCTGGACTCTGCCCTGTGGCTTGCTTTGGTCAGTGGGACACCAGCAGGTTTGACGCAACAGCGGCCTCAAAAGCGAAGCACACTCCTGCCTGCTGCTCCTTGTACTGGGCCACCTCGAGGACACACCCGGCTAGCGCTGGGGGACGCGCGGCTGGGGGGGGCGGGGCTGAGCTGCCTGCATCCTGCCAGCCAACGTCCACCCAGACAGGTGACAACAAATGCCCCCAAGGTCTGGGGTTGTTTGTTAGGTAACATTGTGGCTACAGGAACAGATTCACCCCCGCACCCCTGCCCCATAGGTCTCCACTACACAATGTTTCTCAGTGCCCACCTACCAGGCGGCCCCAGGAAGGCAGAGAGCACTAAGCTGTGACCCTTACCCCTTTAACTCACACTCTGAGGCTCATGAGCCCCGGAATGGGGGGGCTGCCAAGAACTGGGGCATCACAGATCAGGGGTCCCAGAAGGATGACACCAGGCACCTAGCAGGGAGGAGAGGAGGTCCTGGGCTCCCCTTGCTTGGGGCTCAGCTGTGGAGCCTTTGAGGGTCTGACCCCTGGCCCTTCAGGGTCACATCTTACTGATGAGGGGCCCGGCGCTCAGGAGCAGAGTAACTGGTCCTGGTCCCACAGCCACAGGTAGCAGTCTAGGCTGGGAGACTCGGCAGCTGAAAACGTGCCCCTTCTGAGACACACACCACCGTCCCTGTAGGACCCCCTGTCATCGGGCCGTGTCATCGGGCCATCGCAGTGCAGAGCGGCAGCGTGACCTGCGCAGGGTCCTGCAGGCTGCGAGTAATTGCCATTATCGCTGTTGATGAGGGTTTTTAAAAAATCCTCATTCGAGGATATGTGTTTGTTAATTTTAGGGGCGTGGGGGAGAGAAACATCGATGTGAGAGAGACACATCAACCGGTTGCCTCCTGTACACGCCCTGACCGGGGAGCAAACCCGAAATCTAGGTTTGTCCCTGGTGGGGAATGGAACCCACGACCTCTCGTTGCACAGGATGATCCTCCAACCGAGCCACACCATGGGCAACTGATGAGAGTGTCTGGTGGGGAGGAGGTGGTGAGGGTCCGGTCACTAGGCCAAGGCCCGTGTGCCCAAGTGATAACAATAGGCTCCCTTACAGGGCCCGCCCCACGCCCAGGGCACTGGCCAGACCCATGCGTGCAGCGCACGAGGGATCTGAGCTGCGACACGGCTCACCACATCCCCTCCACGGCACACCTATCTCCTGGGGGAGGGGGGAGTCTGCAGATGTGGACTAGAAAGCTCACATTGCGCAGCCATGTCGCCTGACCGGGGTCCAGGCCAGGGGCCGGCAAGCTTTTCCTAGAAAGACAATCGTTTAGACTGTGGGCCATATGCCAAATGGTCCATGCTGCGTTTTCTTCCTTGATTTTTACAAAAATCCTTTAAGTTTAAAAACCATTCTCCGCTCAGGGCCTTATAAAAACAGGCTATGGTTTGTGACCACAACTAGAGCTTGCCACTGACCTCTGACCCAGACAAGTGCCAACAGGTCTCTTGCCTAGTGGACAAAATTTGATGTCACAGGCTCAAAACTCATTCCTCTCCCCTCTCAGGACTGGCTTGTCATGCCTGACACATAGTTGTGACCGTCTCGCCGCCGGCTTGCTTGCTCGGTTGGGCCTTGTGAGGAAGAGAATGACAGCGGCACCAAGCGAGGGAGTGCGGCAGAGACGCGCACGGCCTCGCCGGCCCCGGCTCCCCGGCCTCGTGCTTCCTGTGGGGCTGCCACCACTGCTTCTAGACACGGACACAAGTTTTAGATGGCGTGGCCATTTGCTGCCACCACTGTCGTGCTGTTGTCACAATGACCCCTCTCCCTCCTCATCAACATCAGTGACAAGCCGGTCAGAACACTGGCCCGGGGGCCGCCACCCTCTCGGCCTCCGTAGGACTCAGCGGAGCTGCCACCAGCATGCAGGCCGGCTGCCCCCGCTTCCAGCAGGCTCTGAGCTGCAGCTCAGCATCTTGTTCAATGAACAGTTTCAGTTCCCAAAATAGCCCTGGTGGCAGGGCGGTTGCTAGGAAACACTGGCTGGGGTAGGGGAGCTGTGGGCGGCCCTCTCCGGCCCCATTTCCACCGCCGCCCTTTCCCTTCTGAGGGCCACAGAGGGGAGCACGAGGCCAAGCCTGTGTCATCCAGAGTAGCCAGAGAGAGGGAACATGCCGTGAACATGCCTGCACACACATGCACATAAACACACCCACACAAGTGCACAGGTGCACACATGTGTGCAGGCAAGCACCCACACTGAGAGCACACACATGCACACATTGGTTCTGGCGTTCCAGACAGACCCGCTGCCCCTGCCCAAGTCCTGAGGAAAGGGCCGCACGTCTCGGGTCGCTGAGCATAGCAGGGGTGGCAGCTCGCTCTCACAGCCCACGATGGAGTATGAAGCTGCTTAAATTATTTAAGAAAATGCCACGTGGACATGAACAGGAAGATGGAGGACAGTGACCCGGGAACACGCAGTGTCTGGCGTGGAGACACGTGCGTGCTCCTGTCCTCACGCCAAGCATTTGGGTGGGGCCCGGTGGAGGGGTTGGGAGGCTGGCCGGCCCTCATGGCAACATGTGGCAGAGAAAAACAGCCACACAATGAAGACAGAGAAAAAAGTCACCTCCTCCCTCCCCACACAGACCTAGTCCCATCTCATCTGTTCCACAAGTGCACAGGTGGCCCCGCCTGGGTTCAGAAGGTCACCTGACGTCCAGGAGCCAGAGCAGAGGGACCAGAGGGGTCACACACAGGGTGAGCAATATCATAAAACCACCCCAACCCCCGTGAGTGTGGAAGGCAGACCGTGTCCTGGACACGTCTCCAGGGTCAGTTCCCACTGTGGCGCTGGTGACTGCTGTGTGGGCAAACTCCAGGTTGACTTATGCCTGTGTGTGCACCGGGTGTGGGGGCAGGTGTGCATGGGGACATGTGGGGGGTGCGTGGGTGGTAGCATGTGCATGTGGGGGGCACGTGTGTCTGTGTGAGTGCACCCCATGTATGTGCCACATGTGTGCATGTGCACCGTGTGTACCATATGTGTGCATGCACCACACATCTATGATCACTGTGCACACTGCATGTGTGTGACACGTGTGCACACACCACATGTGTGTCATGCATGCATGTGCTGTATGTCCATGTGCACAACATGTATGCGCCATGTGCACAGTTTGTGTGTGCACACACCGTGTGTAACATGTGCATGTGTGTACCATATGTGTGCATGCACTGCATGTCTATGTTCACTGTGTGTGCACTGCATGTGGTCACACACCATGTGTGTGCATGTATGTGTGTGCACACACAGTGTGTGTGCATGTGCACATGTGCAGGGCACAGGGTCCTCTCTTCCAGGCCTTCGAAGCTTAAGTATGAGTTCTCGGGCTGCTAAGGGCTCCAGGCAGCTCTGGGAGGGTCTGTGGCCTGAGCCTGTGGGGACTTCTCTGGGCCCCTCCATCACTGTCACCCACTCAGCCACTCAGGCACCAGCCCTGTGTGGAGTCCTGGTGACAGTGCAGGGCCACAGGGGGTGCTCCTGGCTGCAGGAATGTTCTCCTGGTTAGGAGCAGGTGCTCACCAATGAGCGATCCCTTAACCCAAACCCAGGAAACTATAGCTGCTTCCTGGGGGGGAGGTACTCACACCACAGCTGCACCCGAGGAGAGGAGGGGGTGCTGCCTTCCCACTTGGGGTTCCCACTCGGGGTTCCCACTCAGGGAGCTTCAGTGCTCACCGCCCACCATTCTGGGGTCAGGGAGATGCCACAGAATCCTACAACCCAGCAGGAGCCGTCACCCCAACACCAGCAAGAATTAGGGATGCACAGGGCCTGGCCGAGCTTGACTCCACCCCCAGTGAGAAA